AGGAAGACCCCGCTTCAAGTCCTTGGGCTCTCAATAAATGGTGCTGGGGTTTGGGTATCCGAGTGGCTGAAGCGGAGTGACTTTGTAGGGAGGGATTTGCATTGATAGAAGGATGCTAAAGAAACAGCGTAAGTACATCTTGGTTTGGTTCTCAACTTTGAATGCTTGGGAAGTCAGTCACGCGGTTTTGACATTTTGGCGTTCCCTGGAAAAGGTGGCTTGCTGCTGGACTTGATCCTTTATTTTAAATTGTATGTATATATTTGATAGGTTTTGGCAGTTAGCAGTTTTCCTGGATATTCTTAAAACTACACGTTTAGATGCTGGTAGCAGCTTCTCCATCCGCACTGGAGGCTTGCTGCTTTCAAAGTTAACATTTGGTTGGACTGTACTATTAACAATTTTTGACATTTATCCTAGAAGACTAATAAGTCATGCTTGTTTTTATACTGCTTCTTTACAAGGCCGTGTAAAATTGAACTACATGTTCTATAGAAGTTTAAATTTTTTTTCTTCAAGTATTGAATTAAGGATACTAGTATTAGAAAGCAGTGCTAAAATCAGTGTTCTAACTGTTGGGCATCTTGGTCAGATTCGTACTTTAATCTTAATATATTTTCTCGTATTCATAGTCCGTTTTTGAGACTGGCTTAGAGACGGAAGCGAGACACACAAGCATGAGGCAATGGCTGTTGTCAAGAGTTCACCTTTGTGGCTGTCCTGCAGGGATATTAGCTTTTTCATTTCCATTGAAAGGAGTAAGCTCAGAATTGCACAGCCAGCCTTGAATCTTTTTTTTTTTTTTTTTTTAAGTAGTATCTGTATCACTCAATTCATACATTTGTTGAGTTCTCTATGGTTTACAAAATGAAAACTCATTTGATTTAGGGAGTACTCAGAATTTAGGGGGAAAAAATTGTGGAGCATATCTTGCCGGCTAACTCAAACATTTCTGCAAAAAAGGTGCTAATGTTTTTTAATTGGCCTTCTAAGTGCTTGAATAAGTAATGACTAATTATATATTTTTCTCCTTATTGTCCTTGAATTTTACTATTTGTCCTACGGGAGAATGTACTGGCATACAAAACAGCAGCTTAAAATATTGAAACCTAACACCTTTTGACATTATAATGGCTTCTCCATCATTCACCCTGAGAATGGCAAACCGGTAGTGAGGCAGGCTTTCCCTTTTCACCTTGTTTGGAGTGGGCTGTTTCCTATGATTGTGGGCCTAAAGCAAAACAATTTACTGGCCGTGAAGTAATGGTAATAACTTACACAAAATGAGAATGGGAGGCTTGGAGAAGAGATGCCGATGAGTCATTTCTCTTAGAGCTGGAAGAGTATAAGGTGGAGATGATTATGTTGTAGATTAGGAAACCAAGGCCCAGAGCTTTTGAAGGGGCTAAATTGCTAGTTGCTATCGGAGCCAGGATTGGTGGGCCTGACTCTGGAGTGTGTTCGGTTATTTTCCTACTTTATCACCTGTATACTGTTCGTTTCTAAGCTTGCTGGTGCCAACTATAAATGATTTGTGGCTTATTTGTAATACCATTCCTTTGTAACAACAGAGAACATGAGTGCTTCATAGATGAAATGATGCAAAACTGCATAAGCTTTTATTTAAAAGTTGGAAACAATGTGCTGCATTATTAGTGAAAATGCTAATAGTTTCCTCTCATTGCAGAGACAAAACTGTCATCTGGATTAAAATATTAAATGAGCCTCTTAGGTTAAACTAGCATTCTATCTTTGTGCTAAAATTAATTGAGACTTTTAGAATTCCAAAGGGGTTTTTTTTATTTTTAAGTGAATGGTGTGAAAATTATTTTGTAAGTGTGGGGGTTGTCTTATGTTAACGTGGATTTTAATTCCTTTAAAAGGAAGTAGAATTACATAACCGTGAAAATACAATTTATGCCATAGTTATAACAGAGACAGTTGTATTTCGGCCACTTAACTCAAAGCTGTTCTGGTTGGGTGTGGTGCAATAATCAATGATCACAGCCTTTGGGAGGTGGGGGCAGGGTAAATGCTAGTTAAGGGCCAGCCAGGGCTACGTGTATACAGTTCAAGGACAGCCAGAGCTAGTTAAGGGCCAGCCAGGGATACATGTAGATAATTCAAGGATAGCCAGAGCTAGTTAAGGGCCAGCTAGAGCTACATGGTAAAATCCTATCTGAAAAGAAAAAGGAAGTACTTTCCTTATGGCATATTAGTGAGGATATGCTTAGCACATAGAAAGGGCACAGTAAATAGTAGACATTATTTTCTGTGTTTCATTAGGTTTAATTAGGATATATGCCCCCCTTAATACATTCTTCCAGGCTTAAAAAACAAAACAAACAAACAAAAAACCCTACATAAATACACAATTATTTGCCATAATGAAGATTTAGTGGAAATGGCAGGCTTATGGTTTTTGTTCTGTCTCTACTTACCTTGTACTTTTAATTGGATCTGCATATCCAGTTAGATTAATGTGTACATTTCTCTGAATGGTGGGGACATTTAAATAGTGCTACCCCCAAAGTGTGCTCTTTTGGCATATTTCCAGATGGCTCTTGTGAGTGGCAGGGCACAGAGAGTAGCTCTGAAAAGCTGCCCTTGTGTGTTGTTGGAGAGATGTATCTCTCCGTAAAGAAAATCTGTTAGTGAAATAAGCAGTTAAATAGCTTCTTCCTTAAGGCTACTTTATCTGTCATAGCTGGATCTAGGAGAGAATGGATGGTCTATATCCACCTCCTCCCAGATGACCACAGGGTGTCACATACTCTGAGGATGTCACATGGTCTTTTGAGGCTCTTATTGAGATACTTTTGTCTGAATGAGACAATCTTTGTTCTGAAGTGCATTTCCTTCATTCACCCTCCTATACCCTATTACTCTCACCTCTAGTTCTTCAAGCCCCTGTCCTTTTCTGTCATTCAGAATTGTAAACTGCCCCCTGACCTCCAATCCCCAGTGCTGACTGGGAGTCCAGAGCCTCAAGCAGCCAGGCCAGCACTCCACCGGTCAGTTACACTCTCAGCTCTGGCCTTTTTGAGCCTCATCTTTGTGTTGCACCCACACATGCAAGCCACAAATTTGTACACCATTCCTCTTGCTCATCAATGGCCATTTTTAAAAAAGTCTCCAATACTAGACATCGGGTCTGGGAGGAAAATTCCCCTTCTCCAGTGTCTCCAAGAAACCCTCATTCCAGTTTCATTACTCTAGAATGAAAAGGTGCTGCTTTGCAGGTATTCTGAAGAAAATACTGCATTCTAGAACTTTTTAAGTGAGTTTAGATGAGGAAATCAAGTCTATAAGGTCCATTATTGATCAAAACTAGTTTCTGCTATTGGAACCATGAAAAAAAATCACTGAATTCTGTTGTCTATAAGTTAATCTCTCATCAACATTTTATTTACTGTGTTTATGTATATGAGCACGTTCGTGCCATGGCAGGTATGTAATGAGAGGATAACTTGTAGGGGGTAATTTCTTGCCTTCTACTGTGTAGGTTCTGGGAGTCTAATTCAAGTCCTTAGGCTTGGCACCATAAGCACAGATAACTGCTAAGCCATCTCACTGGCCTTATCAATTGGATTGTTTTTATAGCTTTACTCATTAAACTGCTAGGTTTTAGTGATATGTTTGTGTGATTCCATCTATAAGATGTAAAGTTCTTTTAATTTGCTATATCTCAGGCCCAGCTAGTATTATGACCATGTGGTTTAACATGTCCCAGTTGGTGACAATTATTATCTATAGTTAGCAGGCCTAGAATCACTAAAATTACTTGAGAGTCACCTGGAACCATCAAAAGTTTCTAGAGCTATAGTTGTCTCTCACTTTTATAGAATTTTAATGTTTGAA